AGTATTCCAGACCTTTTTATTAAGTCCCCTGTCAGTATTCCAGACCTTTTTATTAAGTCCCCTGTCAGTATTCCAGACCTTTTTATTAAGTCCCCTGTTAGTATTCCAGAACTTTTTATTAAGTCCCCTGTCAGTATTCCAGACCTTTTTATTAAGTCCCCTGTTAGTATTCCAGACCTTTTTATTAAGTCACCTGTCAGTATTCCCGAGGGGACTATAGGTGTGCACTCTGTCAGTCAGTCTGTCCATGCCTCAATTTGTCCAGGCATTATCCCAATTACTCAGTCACCTACACTTGCCAAATTCTGTATACATCAGTACCTTATTGAATGGCATACTGAAATTAAGTGTTATTTTTCATACTTAAGTTTGTCCGGAAGTGGTTGGGATTACTTGCAATTCTTCCTTGTTTTATTTCACATGCAAACATGTAATAAATAATTTGATGTAGATTATTGATACTTTCACCAAGGGCTTTCGTGAAATAAAAAAAACTACTCTTGCCATTATATTAAGATCTTGTGTAGAGGCTTGATATCGGGTACAGAGACAAATTAATGTACCTGACACAGAGACAAATTAATGTACCTGACACAGTGACAATGCTGTATTACTTGGAAGACAGAGGAATGAAATGTCAATGTCTCAATTTTTTCATCAAAATCTAATTATAAACTAATTGTTTATGCTATCAGGATTTCGACACCTCAATCAATAGTGGACTTGATTGAGTCTATAAAGGTGGATCTGCTGCTCCTAACACTGTTAATAAAGGTGGATCTGCTGGTCCTAACACTGTTAATAAAGAAATGTTTTGAGGTAAAATGCATAATTCAAAGCTGTTTTCATTTGATTGCAATAAATCATGCCCTGAGAATAAATTCTGTCTGGTGAATTATCATGATAAACAAATATTTCCCATAGATGTATATATATTGTTGCCATTGAGTAACTTCCATCTGGACGGCTGAATCTACATATACATTTGTATGTGTATTACCAGGTATATGGTGCAATAACACGTCTCATTATTACACCACGACTATTAAAAAAAACACTCTGTCCTGAATTCTAGAGAATTCAACAGATTACTGAAAAATGATCTTGAATATTAATGATATGAAATTACACACATTGTTTCTGTTGTTTATTTGTTAAGTCTCCATTACAAGCTCATGAATTGTATTGACAAATATAAACCGTTCAGTATTCAGAGCATGTAAAGTTGACTTCCACACTTCAGTATAATGCCCTATTTCCTGTTCAGGCACATGATAGATAATAACAATTAATGGATGGCTAGATCATCCAATCAGAATGTGTTTCAATACAGCGTTAAGAATTATCAGCTTTCTATATATAATTTTCTCAATACATGACACAATCTATAAAGTTTCTTTATGTTAACACATTTAAAAGCAGTTGGAAGGGCACTTTTATGTGTTAAACTAGAGGGCCATAACTCTTGGTTATCAAACACAGAAAATAACCATTACAGGGTAACTTTGACCTAGTTTTACATTGTCCTGTGTCACTTCACAAAGTCATGACCTTTAACCTTTATCAGAGTTAGAACCATAATTATAATTTCTTTCTCCTTGAACTTCTAGCATAACTTTTGTCTTGATTATGAACTATCTTTTCTATATTGAACATAATCTAGACCTTTGTTATTCTGAACTATTAGCTTGTGACTGGTCAGTTGTGTTACATACTTCAATATTTGACCAGACATTGTGATTCAGATGTCCAGCCCTGGGTATATCACACTAACCCTGTACCTGACTGGACTCTGTTGGATTCAGATGTCCAGCCCTGGGTATAGCACACTAACCCTGTACCTGACTGGACACTGTTAGATTCAGATGTCCAGCCCTGGGTATATCACACTAACCCTGTACCGGACTGGACACTGTTGGATTCAGATGTCCAGCCCTGGGTATATCACACTAACCCTCTACCTGACTGGATACTGTTGGATTCAGATGTCCAGCCCTGGGTATATCACACTAACCCTCTACCTGACTGGATACTGTTGGATTCAGATGTACAGCCCTGGGTATATCACACTAACCCTGTACCTGAGTGGACACTGTTGGATTCAGATGTCCAGCCCTGGGCGTATCACACTGACCCTGGACTTGACTGGACACTGTTAGATTCAGATGTGCAGCGCTGGGTATATAACACTAACCCTGTACTAGACCTGACAGTGGGATTTGGACGTCCACTGCTGGCCTGGGTGCATGTGTGTATTATAGCCCTATACATGACCGACAGTGTGAGATTAGGACCGTCAGTCCTTGGTGTACATACCTGGATAATTCCCTAGCACTTATATAAATATTGACTTACCAAGGAATTAAAGCAACAAGGTTTACACGGCAGACACTTACACTCTCTCACCATATCCATATTATCTAGTGTGTTGTAACTAACCTGATAAGGAAACAGGGGTATTCCTACCTGTGACTGATACGTCTACTGCACTTAGGTGTACACAGAGCATGGGACTCATGGACTTCCATCAAATCATAGTGTTTAATGGTGTGATCCAATAATTTACTAGGTGCATTTAAATAGTTATAAGTATTAAAGTGTTTCTTGGGACATTGAATTAGTAAAAGGAATATATAAACTTATTTTTGACAGTAAAATGAAATAAAATTTAAGAACACATTTTTAAAACAGTTTTTCTTTAAAAGGTACAGATTGATATGGACACACCCTGATTATGTTCGACTAGTGAATGGATAATTCATATAGTATTTTGTTAGAAGTGGTTTAGGTTAGGTGATAACATTCATTGAAGGTGTCTCTATCAACAGAATGTGACATGACTTTAGACACTTGGTTACCAAGCTTTATATGGTGTAATGTAAATTGGTTCTGTTAAAAACTAGCCCTCTGTAGACAAGTCAAACACAGGTGATGTGGTAACATTTATAATAAATACACTGGTAAATGTAATTACCTGTCAGACCAGGGCCAACATTACAGAGTTAGTAAATAGTCTGTATATGTCATTGTATTCACACATTTGTTATGTACACATAATTATGTAGCTGTAAATACCATGTGATTGTAAAAATATTTGGACATTTTATTTAAAACACCACCACCCTAGGAACGGAACAAACCAGGGAAATATTTTTTAGCATATAAGGATTAAATACTGATAGTGTAGAGAACACATGACCAGGGTAAAATACTTCAACTCTAACATGGATTTCTGAACCTGTCATTGCCATGTTTCTACAATGGACTGTCTTAGTCCATTGATGTGGGTCAGAGGTATGACAGGCTGTAGGGTGGTCAGGATAAAAGGCTAACAATGACCCTCTGTTCTTATCAGATTGGTGTCAACATGATCATGGTCAGTCATACATATTTAATGATAAATTGGCCACAGTGTCATGTGGTTTTTGGTGATATATTTTTAGATTTGAGTCGAGGGTATCAAATTATAGAGTACTATGTTATATGAGATTTCCGATCGTATTCTATGGGGGCTATTTACCGATATCAGTTACAGGGTGGAATTGGTATTTGATAGGGCATTTTCCTCGTTTCACTAATTAAAATTAAAATACTGAAGAAACATTCAGACCAAATCTTGTATTACAAAAGATACAATCAGTAAATTTGATAAAAAAAACAGTAAATTTGTCAGAAAATAACTTTTCACGTGACAGTTTATTCTTGAATCCTACAGATGCAAAGTCATGCTTTGTTCAAGGTTAGATCTAACGGATAGGGAGGACATCTAATTGGTTCGGTCACAGCTAGTTTCATTGCAATTAAATTTTCTTCTATTATATTAACTTTGAAAGTCATGCAGATTTAAAATACATCTTACCTCACCGTATTACTGAAATAAAGGACAGCAGGGTCATAGGTATGTAATACTGAAATGCTAACACCTAATCATAATTTGAGATAAAACTTGCGACAGCTATTTCAATAAACCATACCTATTAGTAGAATGTTAACTGGTTGATACATCCATAAAGGTGTTTCCCGTGCTGCTTCAAAAGCTATACACCTCCCAAAATCTACATTTCAGGTTACAAATAAAATATAATAGATATTCTAGAAAAAATCATGGCAATTTTTACCCATCAATGTTTTTGCAGAAAAACATTTCCCAACCCCAAATAATGTGTTAATTACCATGAATCCAAACTCTGTTGTAAACTTATGTATAAATGTCTTTGTTATTTTCAGTGACAAGAAGTCGGGGACGTTGGTGCTGATATGTGAACTGATGGACATGAACATTTACGAACTAATACGGGGTAAGGTGCCTTTACACAATTCATCGCTAACTACAGAGGTCATATCTAATAGGATATATAGACTGTCATGTCAGCTATACAGAGTAAGATACCATTATATAATTCATCACTTACTACAAAGTTTATATGAGTATTAAATAGGATATATAGACTGTCATGTCT